TTGCTACTTGGTGCGTGTTGCTACTTGGTGAGTGTTGCTACTTGGTGAGTGTTGCTACTTGGTGCGTGTTGCTACTTGGTGCGTGTTGCTACTTGGTGAGTGTTGCTACTTGGTGAGTGTTGCTACTTGGTGCGTGTTGCTACTTGGTGCGTGTTGCTACTTGGTGCATGTTGCTACTTGGTGCGTGTTGCACAGCTACATAATGTGTTCAGGGACTGAACCTCAGTTCATTTAGCTAAGTAACAATTTTGTGAACTTAATAACACACACAGTATATATATATATATATATATATATATATATATATATATATATATATATATATATATATATATATATATATATATATATATATATATATATCGTCTTCATAAGCACTGGCCAACTGCTTGTTAAAAATCACACCAGTTACAGCCCCGCTCCTGTGCTAGGTAAGTCCACTACGGCCTCACCATAGCCCGTGCTACTTGCCCCGCTCCTGTGCCAGGTAAGTCCACTACGGGCTCACCATAGCCCGTGCTACTTGCCCCGCTCCTGTGCCAGGTAAGTCCACTACGGGCTCACCATAGCCCGTGCTACTTGCCCCGCTCCTGTGCTAGGTAAGTCCACTACGGGCTCACCATAGCCCGTGCTACTTGCCCCGCTCCTGTGCCAGGTCAGTCCACCACTACGGGGCCACTTGCGACTCACATTCACTCATCACACACCTGGAAATGCGTCGCCTAAGTCCCGAAAATTCAAATATATACCAACACAGAACCCAAAACGCCAAACCTAACCTAGGTTAGGCTAGGCTAGGCACATCAAATTATAATACAGCCAAACAAATGTTAAACCCACCAGCCAAAAAGTTCAAAACCGACACACGCGTTCAAACCCACGTTCAAAGTTTGAAAGCTTGTGTTTCAAGCTTGAAACAGAAGGTAAAAAGCTTTAGACCACGCCCATGTTCAGATAGGTAAATCAATACGTGTTACATAGAGTGTTTCGTCCAGGTTAAATCATCGCTTGAACTTTGTCAGGTAAGAACCGCGCGCGTCCAGATGCACGCACTCACGCACACACACACATACACACACACACGGTTGAGAGGCGGGACCAAAGAGCCAGAGCTCAACCCCCGCAAGCACATCTAGGTGAGTACACACACACACACACACACACACACACACACACACACACACACACACACACACACACACACACACACACACACACGAGGAAATTAAAGAGAGGAAGAGCAGGGGAATGTATCTCTCACTCACTCACTCCCCCCTAACTCACTCTCTCATTCCTGTATCCTCCGCTGGAAAATAAGTTTTTCAGGCTAATTAATTTGATGGACGTGTGTATTGGTCATTTATGTTTTGTGTGTGTGTGTGTCTTCATGTAATTGTGCTTGCGGAGGTTGGGCTTCGGCTCTTTGTGCTCTTTTCTGAGCCTATTGGGCTCTTTCTTGAGCCTATTGGGTGTTTTCCTGAGCCTATTGGGCTCTATCATATCTACATTTGAAACTGTGTATGGAATCAGCCTCTACCACATCACTGCCTAATGCACTCTATTTTCTAACTACCCCTGACACCAAAAAAAGATCTATTGTCTCTGTGGCTCAGTTAGTTTCTGTGTCATCTTGTGCGAGTACCGCAAGTGTTAGTCTGTCTTTATCTAGTCAATCAATTCCCTGAGAATTTTGTAGGTGGTAATCATGTCTCCCCTAACTCCAATGTCTTCCAGCGACTTGAGGTTCTATTGATGTAGCCTTTCCTCGTAACTCATGCCTCGTAGTTCTGGAACTAGTCTGGCGGCATACATTTAAACACTCTCCAACTTCTGTTCTTGTAGGGGGTTGAACTTCGGCTCTTTGGTCGTGTGCTTAACTAGATATGGACTCCACGCTGGAGCTGCATACTCCAGGATTGGTCTCACATATGTTGTATACAAGGTTCTGAATGATTCCTTTTACTAATATATAAATACAGTTTTTATGTTAGCCTACCATGCATATGACGCTGATGATATCCTGTTAACATGGGCTTCAGGAGGCAGATATCGGTGTGATATCAGCACCTTGGTCCTCCTTCCTGTTCGTTTCATGAAGGATTTCATCTTCCACTTTTGGTACCCTGTGTTCGGCCTCCTGCTCCCTTCACTTAGATTCATTACTTTACATTTACTAGAGTTAAATTCTAGTAGCCATTTGTTGGACCATTCTTTAAGTTTGTCTAAGTCATGTTGTAGCGTCTTGCTGTCTCTCTCCTCCTCATATTTTCTGCATCAGCAAACAACGAGAAGAATGAGTCTATTCCCCCTGGAAGATCATTTACTCATATGAGAAACACGATAGATCGGAGAACTGAACCCTGCGGGACCCCCCTGGTGACATCTGGACCTCATCCCTCACAATGACTCACTGTATTCTGTTGCATAGGCACTCCCTTATTCACTGTGATATCTTTCCTGTGAAACGGTGCCATCTTCATAGCATCCTCTTCCCGATTATAAACAGTCATCCATATCGCCTTATAAACATGTCAGACGGCCCAAGGTAACTATTAGTTCAATTTAGATAGTTAAGATATAAATGTATTGTGCAATTTATAAATTTTTGAATTTCAATGAGTAGTCTAGCTGTGTTTTATTTTTCAAATGTGGCAACGGGTAGCATCGTTGCATTAGACAAGATTTCGAAAGCCAAGTCAGGTGGCCCGGATGTACGTGTGTGTAATCTGATTGGCGTAAATTCGTATCAGCCCGCCAATCGTAGCGTGACCCGAGATCAGGCGACTCCCGTAGAGAAGCTTGGAGGCAGTTCATTGGCCCCGAGAGGACTCGTAAGGCAAGGAACGACCGAGATAGTAAAGCTTCAAGCAAAGAACTTTTGCATTTTCAAAGAATTAGCAACGTGCCACGGAAATGGGAGATGGATAGAGAGGAACTGATGGGGGGGTAGGAATAGGGGGAGGGAGTAGATTAGGAGGGAAGGGGTGATAGAAGGGACTGTTAGGGATGGGGGGGAGGACATTGTGGTTGAGGGGAGGAATGGGGCGATGGGGTTTGGGGATGTAGGAGGAATGAAGAGTAAGGATTAGGGATGATCTCATGGAGTGGGGGAGGGGGGGATTAGGATATGGGAGGATAGAGGGGGAGGATTGGGGTAGAGAGAGAGAAGGGAAGGGCATGCGTCCTTTACACGCCGTCCACTGGCAGATAGAGGGAATTGGGGAGGGGGGGGGGGACTTGTTGTATGGGGGGAGGATTGATTGTAGTGGTGGTGGTTGTATGGGGGGGGGGGAATGGTTGTATGGGGGGGGGGGAATGATTGTAGTGGTGGTGGAGGGATAATATTCCTTTTAACAAGGCAGTTTGGAGATGCTACCAGTGAATTATATGAGCGTGTTCAGTGCTATGAATAATTACACGACATTCTGAGGGCAATACTCTCACTTCTGTCTGTCAATAAGGCTGTTAATTCTAATACAATCACACCCGTTGTGACTCTTATTGTCACTAGTACCGAAGTAGACCTTTGTGTGTGTGTGTGTGTGTGTGTGTGTACTCACCTAATTGTACTCACCTAATTGTGCTTGCGGGGGTTGAGCTCTGGCTCTTTGGTCCCGCCTCTCAACCGTCAATCAACTGGTGTACAGATTCCTGAGCCTATTGGGCTCTATCATATCTACATTTGAAACTGTGTATGGAGTCAGCCTCCACCACATCACTTCCTAATGCATTCCATTTACTAACTACTCTGACACTGAAACAGTTCTTTCTAACGTCTCTGTGGCTCATTTGGGTACTCAGCTTCCACCTGTGTCCCCTTGTTCGCGTCCCACCAGTGTTGAATAGTTCATCCTTGTTTACCCGGTCGATTCCCCTGAGGATTTTGTAGGTTGTGATCATGTCCCCCCTTACTCTTCTGTCTTCCAGTGTCGTGAGGTGCATTTCCCGCGTGTGTGTGCATGTGTGTGTGTGTGTGTGTGTGTGTGTGTGTGTGTCTAGTCCTATCAACTACTACTATCTTTTATCACACACATCGAAATGCAAATATTTTAATCATAATAACAGCCTGGTTGATCAGGTCATCAACCCCCGGGAGGATTGGACAGAGACCGGGCCACGGAGAAATTTCCAATTAATCAACAATCATCCAACTAATCAAGCAACCAAATAGCCAAACAATCAATCAACCAGGGGAAGCAATCAGTCACTCAAGCAATCAACCAGTCACATAATCACCCCAAGCACCAACTCATCATTCAGCCTGCCAATCAACCAATCAACCAGCCACCCAATCAATCAACCACGAGATAAACAAAGACACTCATGTCAAGATCACGGAAAATAATCAAACGAACGCGCTTGATTTGTGTGTGAGTGCGCGCGTGTGTATGTGCGTGTGTGCTTGCGTGCTTGCTTGGAGGCTTGGTCGACGACCGGGCCGCGGGGACGCTATAAGCCCCGGAAGCACCTCAAGGTAAGGTAACCTAGTTGTGCTTGCGGGGGTTGAGCTCTGGCTCTTTGGTCCCGCCTTTCAACTGTCAATCAACTGGTGTACAGATTTCTGAGCCTACTGGGCTCTTATCATATCTACATTTGAAACTGTGTATGGAGTCAGCCTCCACCACATCACTGCCTAATGCATTCCATTTACTAACTACTCTGACACTGTAAAAGTTCTTTCTAATGTCTCTGTGGCTCATTTGGGTACTCAGCTTCCACCTGTGTCCCCCTTGTGTGTGTACCACCCGTGTTAAACAATCCATCCTTGTCTACCCTATCAATTCTCCTGAGAATTTTGCATGTGGTGATCATGTCCGAACTCCTCTGTCTTCCAGCGACGTGAGGTGCAGTTCACTCAGCCTTTCCTCATAACTCATGCCTCTTAGTGTTCACCGGTAGCCAGAGCCGGGCTGACCAGCCCACACTCACCAAGTCATAGAAGACATTATCCGCATCTTGTGTTTATCTCATGTAATTCCTTACCTCTTATCTCTTGAGCTATGCCACACCCGTCTCCAGCATCCATCCTACATGTGTCCAGCATCCATCCTACATGTGTCCAGCATCCATCCTACATGTGTCCAGCATCCATCCTACATGTGTCCAGCATCCATCCTACATGTGTCCAGCATCCATCCTACACGTGTCCAGCATCCATCCTACATGTGTCCAGCATCCATCCTACATGTGTCCAGCATCCATCCTACATGTGTCCAGCATCCATCCTACATGTGTCCAGCATCCATCCTACATGTATCCAGCATCCATCCTACACGTGTTCAGCATCCATCCTACATGTGTCCAGCATCCATCCTACACGTGTCCAGCATCCATCCTACATGTGTCCAGCATCCATCCTACACGTGTCCAGCATCCATCCTACATGTGTCCAGCATCCATCCTACATGTGTCCAGCATCCATCCTACACGTGTCCAGCATCCATCCTACATGTGTCCAGCATCCATCCTACATGTGTCCAGCATACATCCTGCATGTGTCCAGCATCCATCCTACATGTGTCCAGCATCCATCCTACATGTATCCAGCATCCATCCTACACGTGTCCAGCATCCATCCTACATGTATCCAGCATCCATCCTACACGTGTCCAGCATCCATCCTACATGTGTCCAGCATCCATCCTACACGTGTCCAGCATCCATCCTACATGTGTCCAGCATCCATCCTACACGTGTCCAGCATCCATCCTACATGTGTCCAGCATCCATCCTACATGTGTCCAGCATCCATCCTACATGTGTCCAGCATCCATCCTACACGTGTCCAGCATCCATCCTACACGTGTCCAGCATCCATCCTACATGTGTCCAGCATCCATCCTACACGTCCCCAACATCCATCCTACATGTGTCCAGCATCCATCCTACATGTGTCCAGCATCCATCCCATCCCACAATTATCTCCATTAGTTCACTCCTGA